GCGGCCCCCGCCCGCCGACCGCCTCTCCGGCTCCAGCCTTTCTTACAGGAGCGATCGGAGCCTTTGCCCTTTCCCGTCTCGCGGAAGACATTTCCTTTGCCCGGAATCCGCAGGATATTTCTGTAAAGCTTGTGCTGTGCGCGTCAACACCCTGTGCTTTGCTCCAGCCTGCCCTGTGCTTTAGATGGTACCATCCCTTCCCCTGTGGTGGCTGCTCCCAGTCCTCACCATCTGGTCCTTACCTTCCCGTGACTCCCACTCCTGCCCGAGCCACATTGAACTTAATTTCCTGCAGTGCCGTTTCCTGAGCACCCTTCTCCTGTTTCCTACTCCCTTTGGTAGGAATTCTTCAGAATTAGGTTAGGAAGTACTTCTTCCAGGAAGTTTACCTTTCCTCAGTCCCACTGCTGTACAGTTTCCTAAGGATCCTGTACTGATAGCTCAGCCTTTATTTGCACCGCATTGTGCTGCTTTTTATGCTGATACTTCTTCCTTAACTCCAGGCTGACACTACGGATCGTTTTTTGCTTTTTAAATATTTAATGGATAGTGCATCATAGGGGTAAAGGTGGGAAGGTTATTGAAGCAGGTGTTTTTTTTTTTTTTTTTTTTTTTTTTTTTTTTTTTTTTGTACCGGGGATTGGGCCTTGTGCTTGCAAGGCAGGCGGAGGCACCACTGACTTAAGTTTTAGGCCTGAGGCAGAAGGGACTAGAACAGTGTTTATGAAGACACGGAGGCAAAGAACTGGTACCTCCATTGTAAATAGTATGGGTTGAGTTGTGTGTAATATGCATGATGGAGCAAGAGATAGAAGAGGTGAGTAGACAGGCCAGCCTGTCAGTCACTTTATAGTTGGCACTTGAACTTAAGAGGTAGCAAAAGCTCCCAGACATAGCTCTTGGCAAGCTCTTCCTATTTCTCTGCCTTCCTCTAAAGCTGTTATCAGTAATTTGGGAGGAATCATATTGCATGAGATTCTGCACAGTAGAGGAGTTAATGCCTACTTTGCTATCCCTTGCCTACAGAATACAGAATGGTAAATGTTATTTGGATGCTCAGACACAGTATATGACCAGCAGGGTTTGTTTGTTTGTTTGTTTTGTTTTTTTCCCCTCTCATTCATTTTCCTCTTCCCAACCACTTTGAACCCAGTGCTAACTGCTAGCAATCACTTTGTTGGATCCGGATGCACTACTTTTCTTCCCAGGGCAACATAGAGACAGTGAGGCTTGGGGAAGAGTACCCAGTGTAGCTGCCACAAAGGGAGCAAGAGATAAGATGGAAGGGCAGTACTGACATGACCAAGGTTTCATGTGTCACCCCAACAATTTTGGTTTTCTGGGGATGGTCACCAGGAAGAATGTCAGAAACCAGATGTTAGGAGACTTTTCCACAGGGTTGACCGGGGCAGAAAGGATGTCTGTCTCACCAGCAGTTCCTGATTTTGGTTCTGTCCTCAGCTCCATTGGCCATACTCTCAGAAATTCCAATTCAGAGATGTGGGATGAGAACCAACCATTTGTGTATTTTTTTTAAAGCTACCAGTTAATGTTTGAGGTGAAGCCAGGATTGAAAGAACAAAATTTATAAAAACTAGTTATGACTTTGAACAGTGAATGTTTCCTTATTCACACATTGAAGAATTCTCCATGACTACTGAGAAAATGAGATAATACAGAGAAAGTGTTTTATTTGGGCACACTGCCTTCCTTGTATGTACAACTTTTTTTTTTGGTACTGGGGTTCGAACTTGGGACCTTGCCCTTGGGAGGCAGGCAGCAGAACCACTGAGCTAAATCCCTGGCCCTGTACATGCAACTTTAATTGGAGGGAAATTTATTTTCTTTGGTTTTGTTCAGTGATTCCCTGTGGTTTTCAATTGAGCCCCAGGAAGGAGAGGAAGAAAACTTTGGGAAGGATAAACAGGATATGCTCCCTAGGCAAGTGGTTTATAACATTTCCCCAACAAGAAATACTTGTAACAAGCCCTTGTCTTTCTCCTTAATGAGCCACCATCTTTAAATTTCTTTATATTTCCCTAGTTTTCATGAAATTGCCATTCATCTTGGAATAACCTTGAGAAGAGGGCCATATAGGGCTGCGTGTGTATCAAATATTTTAGGAAGGATATACTAGAAATATGGGCCAAATAGGCAGTGAAACTTCCAAAAAGAGATAGAGTGAAAGTATTATTTGAAATTTTAATCATGTATAGATTGCCATTTTCCTTTTAAAAATGAAACCTGGTTAATCACTGCAGAGGTCTTGGGGGCTCTTAAAGATGGCGACCTCTGTAGATGCTCAGTCTTGTTCAACACAAGCCTTAGTAGTAACCAGAACACCGTCTGTTGCTGGAGGTGGTCAGAAAGTATTTGCTGAATGAATGGAAGTGCAGCTAGAGGACAATTTTGTAAGTGCTAAGAAATCTGTAAGATTAAACCATAACCATATAGTCATTAAAGTAAAGTGGAACTTTTTTTTCTGCAGTGGTAGGGACCAAATCCAGGTCCTCATGCATGCCAGGCAAGCTCTCTGCCACTGAGTTACACCGACAGACCTGAAATGGAAATTAAATAAATGAACAAATAAGCAACTTCATTATGATTGATTGCAGTAATCTAGAACTTTCCATATTGCCTGTATATGTAGAACTATAAGTTTACATGAAAAAAATCATTTTTCATTTTCCTTTTTTGCAGTACTTGGGGTCAAACTTAGGGCCTTGCACATGCTAGGCAAGCCCCAAATTACCTAATCTTAAAAGAGGTCAAGTGTTTGGTCACCTGACTGGGCCTCTATACATTCAGGTTTGCGATAGCTCATCACATAAGATATTTCTGGCTAACATGAATGTTTGCTTCCCTGAAGGGTTTCCAAAATGGCTGCTGCCCCTCAAGCACCAGGAAGGGGTTCTGTTCGTAAGACAAGACCTCTGACTGTGAAGACGTCATTGAACAACCCATACGTCATCTGCTGGAGCACCCTGGAGAGAGAGGACATGCACTTCATATTACAGACACTCGAGGACAGGTTCAAATCTATTGGATTTCAGAAAATAGAGGATAGAAAGAAAAAGAAAAGGCTACCTCTTACAAAAAGGCAAGGCAGAGAAAAATGCAGCTTAGATGTTAGTATGATTGAGGACCTGAAGGAGGAAAAGCCTGATGCCAACCAGCAGGTGTCAGGGTGGACACATGTGCATGTCAGGAAGCAGCTTGCCATTGGCGTTAACGAGGTCACTAGGGCTCTGGAGAGGAACGATCTGCTCTTAGTTCTTGTGTGTAAGTCAGTCAAGCCTGCCATTATTACCTCACACTTGATCCAGTTAGGTTTAAGCAGATCTGTTCCTGCCTGTCAGGTTCCCCGGCTCAGTGAAAGAATTGCCCCTGTCATTGGCTTAAAATGTGTGCTAGCCTTGGGGTTCAGAAAGGGCACCTCTGACTTTGCAGATGAAGTAAGAGCTATCATTCCTCGAGTTCCCAATTTAAATGTACCATGGCTTCAAGAGAGAATTGAAGATTCTGGAGAACATGAAGAGACTGAATCTTTGGAAGACCAAGACAAAGAGATTTTGGAAACTTCATTTGAAGACCTCTCAAAACATAAGAGAAAACGTGTTGAAGGGAGGCTAGGTTCTGCTGGAGCCTTACAACCACTTAAAATAAAGAAACTGATTCCTAACCCTAATAAGATAAGAAAACCACCCAAAAATAAAAAAACAATTCTGAAGTAATCTTGGAGAAATCTGTCATTTTATGCAATTTGTAAAAGGACACCATGTAAAGAAACCTTAAAATGGAGTAAGCTACATTTACATATATTCTTGGGATCCTGTGTGGTTATGTTTCTTTCAGACGTGTAATACAAGTCTTTGTACCTGTGTGGCATAAATACACTGAAGCTTAAATATACCAAGTTCAGAAAAAATTTTAAAAATGAATATCAAAAGAAAAGTTTATTGAAACTAATGTCCATGCTCTTGTAAATTCAATGTCTTAAAGGCTGGTACTCTGCTTGTTAGCAAGAACATATGAATCCTACAACACTTAACATGTTTCTACCAAACTTGGAGAATGAGTCACAGTAGACTTGGTTCTAGCTCATAGGGTCAGTGAAACAACTCGGGAGAGATATTATTTGCAGGTAGTACACTGTCCTCAGAAGCAATCATTTTTTTTTTTTAACTTTATGTTGATTTGACTTTCATTGTAAGTAGGCATAGTTGTGGGCTTGTGAGAAAGGCTTGCTATGGACAGAAAAAAGCCAGATAAGGTATTTTAATTAGAACTCACTGTACATAGTTACTTTTTTGGAAATTAAATATGTAGAGATAGCATGATGGGAGCTGGGAGTGTATCTCAGTTGTAGAGCACATGCTTAGCATACACTTCTGGATTGATTTCTGGCAAAAACCATAAACAATATGATGATGGTAGTTGGATGAAGTGTGGCAGATTAACAGATTCTGTGATGTGGATTTAGGTGATGTTAGGTCCTTAAGATTAGGACCCAGCATAGCAGATACTCTGTGTGATGTGTACAGTACACAGTTTAGGGAGAAGGTAATTGTTTACAAAAATTTTCAAAAATTCTGGTTGACTTACGAATTATGCCAAACCATTCATTTGAATTCTATGTAGTACCATCTTGGCACAAATTTTTAAAAGGAAGGATATCTTATAGAATAGAGCATTTTGCCAGGCATGGTAATGCATACCTGTAATCCTAGCACTCGGGAGGTTGAGGCAGGAGGACTGTTTTGAGGTCATGGCCAGCCTGAACTACATAGCAAGACCATGTCTCCACAAAGATAAAAATATTTCCATTATAGACAGTATAGAACAAGGTAGTTTTTAAAAAATCTAACAGCTACTCTATAAACAGTTTTGCTGATACTCGAAAAGATTCATTGGTAATCTGTAAATTAGGAATAGGCCAATGTAGTTATTAACTACAAAATTTTAAAACAATCCAGTTGTGACATGAATTCTGTAACAACTGGAATATGTAAATGAGGCTAAAGTATGGATGTAATAGTTTCCTCATGAGGTAAGCTTGTGACAAAATTTCCGACTGGTGATTCCACAATTAGAAAACCTGCACAACACAAGACTTTGTCCCATAAAAAATGAGTGGGGAGATAAGTCCTAGATTGAGCTGTGACTCAGGATAATGCTGGTATCTCAGAGTCCCAGTTTAGCAGTAGTTTTGCTTCTTGTTCTCCTTTTGGGAAAAAATGGCAGTGCACCTGGGTTTGAATCATCTGAAAGCTATGCACTGCATCTAAACCTCTAGTCCTGACTGTGGGGCCCAGGTGCCCCCTCTAGTGGTGGTGCTGGGTGCCACAGCTGTGTTTTCCATCTCCTTAGCACAGGCCACACAGCCTGCTACAGCTGTCCAGAGCTCGCCTTTGTAGCATGAGGCCGTAGATAGCACATAAGCAGAAGTGTGGCTGTGTTTCGGTAGAACTCACTCATGGATGCTGCAATTTGGGATGTGTATAATTTTTATGTTCAAAAAATTTATTTTTTTAGCCAGGCGTGGTGGTGCACGCCTGTAATCCCAGCACTCAGGAGGCTGAGGCAGGAGGAGCGCTGTGAGTTCGAGACCAGCCTGGGCTACACAGTGAGTTCCAGGTCAGTCTCAACTACATAGTGAGACTCTGTCTCAAAAAACCAAAAAATACAATAAAATATTTATTCTTTTGACGATTTTCCATCATTCAAAAAAAGGACGCTTAGTTTGTGGGGTGTTTAAAGACAGGCAGTGGTCCAGAATTAGCCCATGGTGATATTTTGGTGGCCTCTTCCTGATATGATTGGTTTCAAAGGGTTACTAACAGGCAGTGGTACAATAAGAAGTATCTATTTTGTGGTATTTAAGGCCAGTCTGTTTGGCCTTGTTTAGCATCATATTTTCCCTTGGATTACTGGAAGTATATAAACATATGTACATAGTGGAACTTTTTCAAATTCTAGGTAACACCAGTAACAAAAATTATGAATAGTTATTTACAAGTAAGACATTTTCCATTAGCATGAGAGTTTTCATGATAAAAATCAGCATAAAGGAATATGGAATATGTGCAATTCTGTGTAAGTAATAGAACATTCAAACTATCAAAGTGCTGGTAGCACTAATAAATTCCCCAGGCACTAGTTTTAATTTCCGGCTTTTTATTTCTTCACCCTCACCTTCCTGGGTGTTGCTGACGAGAGCCTGGAGATAGTGCAGCAGTGGGAGTCTGTCTGGTCTCGGGCCTCATGCTTTGTGAGAGAGCACACTCAAGTTTGCCCAAAACCTTGCCACTGAAATGATCCATAACTTGCTGAAGATAAAGTACAAATCTGTATGTTTATTGTTTTTGTATATTTATTGGCTTGGCAACTTTGCTTAGAGAGGAATAATGCACTGGCCCCTGTCCATGTTCACAATGTCCCATCTCATACCCTCTGCTTGTCACTCAACCCCGTGCCTATGACCCCAGTAATGTATGTCAAGATTCTCCAGGGGATCCTTCTTTCTGTTACAAATGCACCACCATTTAATAGATAGAAATGCAGCAGTTTATCCCCACAAAGCAGCAAAGATTTTCTTACACAATGCTGTGACTTCTGTTTAGTCTATAGAAAAAGAGTCCTATTTCTAGAGTGGAAAAATACCCTTTCTTCACCAAAAGAGCTGAAGGTTTGAAAACTACAGGAATGTGCTCTTTGTACCCTTTCATCCCACTGATAAGTAGGTAAACAGCAAAAACAGGATAGATTTTAACATTCTAGCTAGAAATGTGTAGCACAGCTCATACGGGCATTTTTCATTTTTTTCTGATTGTTACCAGCTACTTCAGCTTCACTTGTGCTTTTACTCTTCTTTGGAATGGCAGTTCCAGGAATTGTCATAGAGAATATTAACAAATGAGGGTGTAAGAACAGTAGAGATCAGCAGATCCATCTACTGGAGTACAAGTCCAACCTAAATGGAGGGAAGAAACACAATGATCGCAAGACTGTGAGGCAGAGGAAAATCAAATCGTAATGTAATTCAGTAAGTGAATTTCAAAGCTCTTATAAAAATTTCAAATTATTCAAAGCTTTCAATAATTTCAAAGCTCTTCTCTTTATAAAGCCTTCTAATGGAAAGCACGTACAGAACTGTCTGGGCAAATAACCTATGTTTACACAGTCTTTGACAAAGCCTTCACTTACCTTTTCAGAATCCGTTCCTGGACATCTCCAGTTGTACAAGTAATACTGCAAATTGCCATCTCCTATACCAAACTTGAGTTTTTCCAAGAAGGTCTTATTTTCCATCAAATCTAGTGCATTGAATACATCAAATCCTTTCTGCCAATGTAAAAGAGACTTAAAATTTAAAACATCAATGGACTATAGCATCTTCTGTAATACACATTTCAGTGTAATACTTAATTCCTAGCACAGTATGAACTTATAAATGGAGCTTAATGTTTATGGCATATAGTGCACGTTGGGAATTCAGTTCAAAATTGTTTTCTAATGCTGCCAGTGAATCTGATGAAGTCAGCAAGATATTTCAGAAGTGCTGAATCAAAAAATGTAGTCTGATAGCTGGCATTTACAAAAAAGTAAGATTTCAGAAAATACTGTGTTCCTGCTTCGGAAGGGATAGATGTCTAGATGGTTCCATTTCAGGATTATTATTGGCCAAAGTTCCTGATTTAGCTGAAGCTACTGCCAAGGACTAAAGACTTTAAATTTCAGGCTTGTCTTAGGCTGATATTGAGGAATACAGTTGTTTTAATGGTAAAATCTAAATTTCTCGCAGGCTTGATGCATATCTAATCCCAGCTACATGGCAGAACAAGTTTGAGGTCAGCCTGGGCAATTTAGCAAGACCTTGTTTTAAATAAAAAGGCCTTGGGCTGTAGCTCAATGGTACAATGCCCCTGACTCAATCCTGCTGATAATTATATAAATTAAATCATTAAGTTGTTAGTAATAATACTGTGTACAATGTGATATAGATAAGGCACATAAAATTTTACTTCTCAGGGTATTTACCTTAAGTAACTTACTGATGATGTGGAAGAAGTTCTGTAGTTGAAAACAAGAAACCTGAGGATAATGCTGATAGGGTGATTCAAAAGTAACAGATGTGTAAAATTGTTTGTTTTGTTTGTTTTTGGTACCAGGGATCGAACTCGGGATTTTGTGCTTGCTAGGTAGGTGGCAGAGCCACTGAGCTAAATCCCAATGATCAAATATGAGAAAAGGGCAAGGAAGACATTTTTGATGTACTGTTTCTAATTTCTCATGCGCATTTTCCCACGTTAAATGTTTATCAGCACAATGTATAGTATGTCACCTGATTCAGATTTCTGCTTTTGTTTTGTTTTTTTGAGACAGGGTCTCACTTTGTAGTGCAGGCTAACCTTGAATTCACTCTGGAGCCCAGGCTGGCCTCAAACTTGTGGTGATCCTCCTGCCTCAGACTCCCGAGTGCTGAGATTACAGGCTTGTACCACCACACCTGGCTCAAATCTTTTTAAAGGAAAAATGTTTATTTGTGGCAATAACTCAATAACTATACCAACTTCTAGACTGAGGAAGCACAAAAATAATAGAACAAGGTACATTTTTAATTTAATTCCCTTTAAAATTCAGACTACCTGAATTAAATAATTTACTGCAGTTTATTTACTCAATACAAATATTTTCTCATGTATTTTATATTATGGTAGGATCTTTTCCTATATTCCTTGGATTATCACTTTTATGTATTCCTAGTAAGCATTTAAAAGTTTCCAATTTGTAGCCTGGTGTGGTGGGGAACATCTGTAATGCCAGCACTCTGAGAAGCTGAGGCAGGAGGATTGCAAATCAAAGCCCAGCCTGGGCAACTGAGCGAGACCCTGTCTCAAAAAAAAAAAAAGTTGGGGATGTACCTCAGTGTGAAGGGGTTCAATCTCTAGTAGTACAAATTTCAATTTATACAAAATTAATTTACACAAAAGTTTTGCTAAGTTGCAATAAAATTAATGATGAAAACAGACACAAGTTTTAAAAGAAACTCTTAGCAAAATTATACAAATGACTTGCCAATATGTAACAAAGAATGACCTGCATGAATTCCACCTGCATAGAATAAAAGACTGTCCAAGGCTTCCTCTGTTCTATCTGCTGGTGCACATGTGTGGAGAGGCAGACAGCACAGAGGAATGAGCTGCTCACCAGCTTGGCTATGATGAGCGCGTCACTCATGAGGTCCAGCAGCGGCGTCTCTGTGTGGATGTTGTAGAAGGAGTAGGCAGCTTTGAGGCTCTTATGGGCGGGGTGGTGCATGACCGTGGAGGGGAGCGTGTAGAAGCTCAGGAAGTCAGTCAGCTTCCCACTGGAGCTCTGAGGGATGAAGGTGACATCGGTAAGTGTCTCCCTGAACACACTGCAGGCAGCTGTGATCTCTGCCTTGAAGCGTAACTTCCAGTCACACAAAAAACAAGTGAGATTTCTTTCTTGAGGGCTAAGGTAGGTAGAGGCCAGAAAAGAACAGAGTTGGAAATTTTGCTAAAGTGCTCATTGATGATTTGCATAAAGCTCCTAGAAAGCGGACTATGCTGAAAGGGATGTTTCCTACATGGAGTAAGGAGTCAGTTCAGCCAGCGATAAAAGCAGGTGCCTTGGGTCTGCAGATGGTGGAACGTTAAGGGTTGGAAGGGTGTCCTCTTCCCTGAAAGGTGCGTGTGTGGTAAGCTAGCCTGGCAGTATTCCAGGGAGTGAGCTTCACAGGGGCTGCCCACCTGTGGTCATTCCGTTCGCCACATTTTCTTGGAAATGAACGATATGAGCCTGTTACTTCCAGAGAAAAACTGGCAGGATTTGTTGCCATGGATAAAACGTGAGATTTCAGGTACAAGTTAAAAGAGTTTGGGAAAATCTGTATCCTTTACCGTGAGCTACAGTACAGACTTCCCTTTGACAAAAGTGGTGATATCCATGCGTGGGATTCTTTGATATCATATAATGAAATGTCAGTATTTGAAAGACATCTATAATTCAATGCATCAGTATCTTCCAGATGACCAATGTTTGATGTTATGAACTCATACATAAGTAAAAGTGTCATTCAAAGGACAAGACATACCTCAGTGACTGAGCACTTGCTTACCAAGTGTGAGGCCCTTGGTTCAATGCCCAGGACCATAAAGAAAAAAGAAAAGAAAAAAAAAAAAAAAAAAAAAAAAAAAAAAAAAAAAAGAGCAAGCAAGACTAATAGCTGGGCATGGTGGCACATGCCTGTAATCCAGCACTTGGGAGGCTGAGGCAGGAGGACTGCTTAAGAGTTTGAGGCCAGCCTGGACCACACAGCAAGACCCTGTCTCAAAAAACCAAAACAAGTGCTTGTTTGGGCAGCATATATACTAAAAAAACAAAACAAACAACAAAAAAGACCAATGGATTTTAATAGAGTGTAAAAAAATTTTTGATTTTGGATAAGAGAATATGAATAATTATCTGAAAAGATAATTGAAACATTCATTTTCAAATCTTCAATAATTCATGTAAAATATTTTCTTCACATACTTTGACCATAGAGTGAAAGTATAAATAGATAATGAGTTACCTTCTATTAAATCAGACATTAATGAGATTTGCAAAAAATGTAAGATGATTCACTAATTTTGTGGTGTGGAAGATACTCGTATTTCATTTAAAATACGTACTTTTAAGTAACGTAATGGACTTACTTGTTATATCATTAAAACAAATAACAAATACCAGAATTTAATTTTGAATATGGTAAATATTTATGGATAATTTGTCAGAAAGTGAAGGAGATCTGTGATAAAAATGTCCCAAGTGCTGCCCTGGACATACACAGTTGCATAAGATCTGTGTATAAAGATGGCTACTCCTGCACTGCTTTAGTAGTAAAAACTTAGATTGCTCAGTTCTTCAGAAATGTCCTCAGTTACCCCGCCTTGGCTCCCTCCGTTACTACCCAACCTGGCTGGGCCTGTGATCTTCTGTCCTAGGGCTGGGTAAAGACTTCTGTGTGGAGTTGCTTCCAACTGGCCCTTTCCATTTCTTTCTTTCAAGTATTTACCAGATTAAACCCCAACTTCTCAACTTAATCCCTGAGCCTCCAAGTGATACATCATCTTAACAAATTCCAGATTTTGTTAAAATAAAAAAAGGTTTAAGTCAGGTATGGTGGTGAACTCTTACAATCCCAACACTCTGGGAAGGTGAGTTAGGATTCCAAGTTTGAGCTCAGTTTGGGTAGCTCAGTAACTTAGTAAGATCCTATCTCAAAATAAGAAACAAAGAGGGAGGGATATGGCTAAGTGTGAAGATCCTGGGTTCACTCCCCAGTGATTAAAGGGAAAAAGAGCTCATTTTTGTCCAAGAATAGAAACTGTAAAAAGATGTGGCTTTTCTACATCATGGAGGAAGAGGAAAGACACTGGCACTTTATTGTCTTTCTGGAAAACAAATGTTTCTGTCCTCAGTATTATCGCTTTACCTTTACCTCCACTACAAATGTGTCAATAATATGCTCCCGGGGGAGGAACCAGTGGGTCACTTCCTCTTCATCCATCACGGGAGCTAGATGGAACTGCTTCAGGTAAATGTTGATTAATTCTCGAACTGCTTTGATATCTTTTGGTTCCATCGGTCTCAAGCCTGAGGTCTTTGTAACCTTGTTAGAGGGAAAATAAAACAAAGCAAGAAGTTTAAACATAAGAGGAATAAAACTTTTTGCTCAAAGTGTGTTCTGCAGATTCCCTGGATCAGCATTACATAGGAGCTTATTAAACTGCAGAATCTGAACCCTGCTCCAAACCTCATGAATCAGAATCTGCAACTTACCAAGCTTCCCTCTTGACCTGTATACCAATTAAAGTTGGAGAAGAATGGTTTAAAATATGCTAGACAGTGCCCTCTGTTTTCTCTTCAGAAGAAGGTCTTGCCCATGATCCAAACAAAGGGAACATTACAAGATGATCTGTATGTCAATGCCAAGAATTTTGACACTGATATGATAACGCATGCGTAATGGAATGACTTCTGGGATATTTGCTTTAAATTGCCAAATGTGACACTTTGAAGTCACAGTTGAGAAACTTTATTTGTCTATGAAAAAGATGTTCTGAGCCGGGGATTTAGCTCAGTGGTTCTGCCACCTGTTTCAAAAGTGCAAGGTCCTGAGTTTGATCCCCAGTACCAAAAACAAAACAAACAAACAAATAAAACCAACAATTAAAATTCAGGTGTTCTCAGGTGCCTGGCTGCCAAATACTAAGCTTGGCTCTTGGGACTGTCTTTTCATTAAAAGGTTATGAGAGTGGGCATTTTAATCACCACTGTAGAGTTTAATACTTTTAAAATAAGGCCATAGGAATAAATAGCCCATAGGTCAGGACAGGTCCCCATTTGAATTTATTCAACTGCTTGTCCTAAGAAAAGCTCCTGACATCACTTTGGCTCTGTAGATCTGTCCAGCATCAGAAAACTTCAGACTAGATGTGAAGAAGCCAAATAAACCAAAATTAGAAACAAATATAGTGTTTTTTCCCTAGTAAACTTGGTATTTTTATCACCTTGGAAAAATACTGAATACATTTTAGGAGATAAATGAAATATAAAATCACTATTCTGCCTTTTCTGCCCACAGTGATTTATAAATATTTAAAAACTTTCTGTAGAATTAAATCATAATTCCTGCAGGCCCCTAGATAGAAATCCATGGGCGAAAATGGGTGCTTATTGGAGTGCTAGCTCTGATCAACTGTGGTTAGCTATGCTGAGGTTTCAAAGGTCTGGGGACTCAGGGCTGATCAATGATCAGTGTAATGTTTATGTTTACAGATCCAACAGTTCTGTTTTACTGGGGACTTTTCAATGATGACTATATAACATACAATGATATAATACAATAGCTAACATGCCATTTAATCTAAATTAAGAGAACTTAACGCCCTTAACATTTCATAGGTAACTCAGACAGTACTTTTAGTCTTTTTGTGGCTCTCAAAACTGAGTCAACAATACTTAAGAGTTCCCAGTTGGGAAGGCATTTGGAATATGCATTTAAAAATGCTAATAAAATGACCAAAACCATATAAAATATACATGTACAAGCATACTGTAATCATTTATAAATTATCTTCTGCAATGAGATAGATTCTGCTTGATCAAATAACATTTTTTTCTTTTGTTACTGGTTCGGAAACAATAATATCAAGCGATTAGATGAATAAAATCAGCAGGACCTTTGATATCTGTTAATGGAGAACATTCAGAAATGAGAACGTCTGCCAAATTCTTTCTAAAGCAAATATTTTCTGAAGCACAATTCTCATTCACTAAATATTCACACTGTGAAATCACCAAAAACACACCAGTTATCCAGCCCAGTGGACATACTTTTTGTTTTTGAGACAGGGTCTTGCTAAATCACTGTATTACTCAGAATGGGCTTGTGCTGCAATCCTCTTGCCTCAGGCTCCTGTGCCTGAACCACCACACCCTACTGTCCAGAGGACATCCTTAACGCAAGAATTCTTTAACATTTCAGTCTCCCGACCCTTTGACAGTCTTAATAATTATCTAGTACTATAAGAGCTTTGCTTTTATAGGTTTACATGTCTATTCTTACAGAATTAGACATGAAACTAAGAACATTAAAAACAAAAGAATACACAAGTACACCTCTACAGCCTCTGGGAGACTGTTCAGTACACTCCTAAGAGGACGAATGTGAAACATGCAAATTATATTTTAGTGTTCTTATGGAAATATTGTTGATGTCACAGATTCAAAGATGTTAGGGACTTTCACGGGTGTTTGGACCACACTTTAAGAACTGCAATGTTAGGTCTCAGAAGGTCAGAAAGATAGGTAGTAGGATTTAGATGAGGGAGACTCCGTGAAACCTGTTTGGGCAAACAGAAAATATCATTAACTTGGGAATTTACAAACATTTGAGACAAGTGTTTATAGATAGGAGCACTAAACCAGAAGAGAACACCAGAATGTATCAGCTATTAAAAACAAAATTAAGGACCTAGAAATGTGGGAAAATACTCACTTTTGCTGGTAGGCGATGGCTAAAAAAAAATCTATGGAAGAATGAAACAAATGTTAAAATGTGACAAAAACTATAGCTGTTGTCTTCAGGAAGAAGTAGAAACTTAAGCTTTAATAAAAACTAAGGTTTAGTACAACCTTGAAGTGAAGCATCATGTTTGTAAGAATTCAATGAAAACAAACATCCTGTAACAGAAAATTTTATATTTCATAAGCAAATTATAATCTGAATCAGATATACTTCCCAGGACCTAATCCATGTCTGTTATCTCCTGGACTCTATGTATATTGAAGTCTTTTTAAATGTATAAGGAAATACAGCTCCAAAGACTGAATAAAACACAACTTTCAAACTATATGGTATGAGAGCCGAGATTCCACAGCAGAGAAGTAAGCCATGTTTATGGTTATTTACATGATTAAAAAAGGAACAGAAATATATTAAACACAAAAAATATCGAATGCTGCTGAACACAGATTAGCTAGCAGGTCTTAGGACCTCTCTGAGTAAGCAACCTTTCTTGCAGCACAAACCTAGGATATGGGTAGACTATCCTGACATCTGCTTTTTATCTACTTCACACTTCTTCACCTTTAAGGTCACTTACACACACAAAGTCCAACTTTGTTTGGAAGTACTCAACTCCAACTAAAAAAATACAAAAACACTGAAGGATAAGGAGACATGGGAAGATGTGCTTTGGGAAACCTACTAGTTTAGAGACCAGCAGTAGGCACAGTGAGCTCTGACCCTACCTAGCAGACTTGACCTGCACCCTTGTGTTTCAATGTCCCTTCTGTGTGGTGGGACTAACAATCTGCCCTTTCTTGACTGTTACAATAAATCAGAATATGGATATTAAATGTCCAGTGTGATGCTAACCCCAATAAATGTTAAGTCCCATATTCAGAAGTACCTGAGGAAAATATAACGTGGAAACAGTAATAATGAGCCAGAAAATGAGACTGAGCCATACAGAAAAGTTGCGTTCAAGCAGGTTCTTTTTACGCTGACTGGGAGGAAACGCCTCTCTAGTTACTTGATTGCTAGTAGTAGACTCACTCATCTGGGCTCATGCGAGCGACTGTGGGGCCTCGTACCGCTGGGTTCTTCAGCTTTTAACTTAGCAGGCAGACTCCTGGGCATCCGCTGTCAGTACCTTCCCAGTTTTCAATGCCTGCCCTTTGTTCTCCTTTGCCCTCTTCTTTGCACTAACCGTTCTTCATGTTTCTTTCCTGTGTCTTCAAAGGGTAAAGGAGACTCACACATGCCAAAGAGAGGTACCTGGGCCTTGACAACTATCCTTTTCTCCCCAAAGCTGCCCTGGAACGGCTACACTGTGGGCCATCTAGGGGCCAGGAGTGTGAGAGGTGCCGACAGGAGATAAGGGGTGTGCCCAGGGACACGGAAGTGCAGCATGCGTCTGATGATGCACCCTTGTTTAGGTGTCAACCTTCATAAGCTTCAGTTTTCTTACCTGTAGAAGGGGGATAAGAAGTGATAACTTCAAAAGGTAGTTGTGAGAATAATTTGGATATATGTGGAAGAATATTGTAAACTTCAGTTTACTGGGGAGAAAAGGCAGTCATTAAAACAACACGGCTCCTACAAAGAACACAGACTGACTGTAAGGGAGACACAAAGTCAGGTCTCACTACTGATGCCTCACCAGTACTTTATCACCAACTTATCAAAACTTGTTATCCGTGAGAAGAGTGATCCTTGTACAAAAATATAATGGTTGCGTCAGGTCAAAAGTACTTTTAGCCCCTCAAATTCTAATCATTGTGAATAAACCAGTGAAGCAAAGGTCTATTCTTCTTTCCATTTTAGGCAGCATGCACATAAATGAGTATTTTTCTTATACATAAGCTACACTGCTTTAGCTTCAATGAAATGAAACACAGGAGACCAACATTATTCAAGTAGAATAGCAGTAGCACCTAGTGAATAAAGTAGGTAAGCTTGAGGTTTTTATTTCAGTTCACGTATAGCAAAAATTCAAATAAAGACCCTATTTGTGGGAGACAGATTCTAAGAAGGCCCTCAGTGACCCTGTCTCCTGGAGTTCCTGACTTGAGTGGTTTGCTCCTGTTGAGTGCAAGTAGGGCTGTGGCTTGCTTCTAACCAGTAGAATTTGGACTTGTGGCTTGCTTCTAGCCAATAGAAATGGCAGCAGTGACTGAATGTCACTTTCATGAATTGATCTGTCTCTGTAGACTGTCTCCAATGGCTCTGGTGAACAAACTGTCATGCTTTGAGCTGCCCAACAGAGAAGCCATATGGCAAAGAACTGAGGATAGCTTCTAGTAACCTGCAAGGAATGGAGGCGTCCATCTACCAGTCAGCAAAAAAGTCATACTGCCAACATCTGTGTAAGCCTGGAAGCAGATCCTTCTCCAAGCCCTGGACTCACATCTTATAGCAGCTTCACAAGAGACACCACACCTAAAGCAGGGGACCCAACTAGGTGATGCTTGGATCCCTGCCCCAAAGAACCTGGGCAAGAAGAAATGTGCTGCTCAGTTTGTGATAAATAATATACCATCAAGCCACAAATAAAGTGAAGACTGGAGAGCACACTGAAACTTTTTGCTCTTCAGACAGGGAGCTTTTCCTACTAGTAGTATGAAAGCTTTAAAAGATGGCAATTTAATGAGATATTATTTCCTCTTCCCGACTCTCTCCTCTAAACTCAATTCCTTACTTCTACAAGAAATCAGGAACAGCTTGGACTCTTTTCCCCTCTTAATAGACAATACTGAAAATTTCAAAACTTACTTTTCTTACACTCACCCAAGTATAAAATGAAGAATTTGAAGAATCTTAAAAACAAAACAAAAGCCAAGTGTGGTGGTCCATGCCTGTAATCCCAGCACCTGGGAGGCTGAGACAGGGAGACTGCTGAATTTGAGGCCAGCTTAGGCTACATGATGAGTTCAAGATCAGCCTGAACTATGTAGCAAGACTCTGTCTCAAAACAAAACAAAATGCCCAAAGCAAAGCAAAATAGTGTTTCTAAGTGAACTCCTCTACTTTCCCAGCTTCTGAGTTCTCTGCAGTCTTTCTAGCTACATACTCCTTTCCTCAGACCTATGACTCTGCTTTTAGACTGCTGCAAAAAATTCTCTTCTGCCTTAAAAGCTTTGGTTGTTGCAGCTCCATAAAACTGCAGATCATTCTTACTCACCTCTGGCAGTCTGTAAAGCTTCACTGTTCTCTGCAATGTCATATTTCTACTCAAGTGAGAAAACTTCACTTCCACCAGTTTTCTGGGGTTTAGGGATCGATGCCAGTATCTGGAATATGACAAAGGTTTTAAAGTCTGATTTATTTCTCCCTGTATGTCTTCACTCTGTTTTGTCTCAGCTGTTCAGAAGCATTTATTCAGTACTTAGGCTACACCCGGCACAGTGGTGGATGCTGGCCCTCTTCCTATACAATAACTTTATTAGTTGATTTTTCTTCTCGGAAATGTCCTATATTCCTATTTAGGTGCTTCTAGCTTGTGACCTTTTGTCTCTGTCACTAAAGAGGAATCATAAAACTTCAAGAAAACTATTCATCCTTCTTAGGTAGGCAAGTATTTAATGACAATTGTGATTTTCTAAGGGCAATCCAAAAAATGTAAGGCATGAAAATATTTACCCTAGTAAGTAGCTTTTAGTTCAGGAGAATATACACCAAGAAAAACAACTTTCTGAGAAATGAGCTTGAATTTCTTAAGTGATTCCAGTTTGGGAAATGGGATAAAGAATTTATATTAACACATACCTGTGGTGTACTTTTCTTGATTTATGAATAATTTAATAGACTATAGTAATTTTATAATTTTATCTTTTGTACTGTTTTTGTTTTTTGTGTTTTTTTTGATACCGGGGATTGAACTCGGGTCCTTGCGCTTGCCAGGCAGGCCACCGAACCGCTGAGCTAAATCCCCGGCCCACCTTCTGTACTTTTTATTTGACATTTCATCCTTTTTGGATTCTTTTTTTTTTTTTTTGGTACCAGGGATCGAACTTGGGACTTTGCACTTGTGAAGCAAGTGGAAGAACCACTGAGCTAAATCCCCGGCCCTGTTTTGAGCCAATAAAAATAGTGGAGGGAGATAAGTCTTTCTGATGTTTTACAACAGGTTACTCCAGTGATAGTCTGATTACTTTCCTGAAAAAACCTTCAAAAGCCTGTTATAGTCAAGGAAGCCATACAAACAGAACGAAGCTTTCTTCTGACTCTGAGCAAACAAGCACATCTGAGCCTTTCAACTGATGCTCATCTGATTTTTGGAAAAGTTTAGTAGTGCTGCAAACCAAGGCAGAAACTGAGTTTACAGATAGAAACAAAACGTGTGACACTGAACTTTTTGAGATCACAATGCCCTACATTTCTCCAGGTACGCACAACAGTTGTCCTTCAAATGGAATAAAAGCAGAAATATATATCCAGTACCATTAGCAGAAAAATGCTAACTTATTCTGAGCCACCCAGTGGCTGCATGATGTACTGGGGCAAACTCTGGACTCTGTGGTTCTAGGTTCTGGTTTCCATCTCTGCTGCCAACAAAGTATATAATTCCCAGCCAGCCACAATCCATCCAGCTATACCCAAGCAGAATACTGCTTCTAACAGGAAGATAATGATGCTTGGCATGTTTGGCGAGGGCAGACTCACGGGAGGGATGTGGTAACCATTACCTGCATGTAGCCACGGGCTTAGGAAGGACCACTCCAGCAGTGTACACAGCCTGGAAGATCCCTTCCAGGTTCACTCTTCTGGTTATTTCTCTAATTAACACTGGGGCTACTCGTTTCGATCTCAATTTCTTATGAACGCAAAGAAAGTTGATTTCTACCATCCTCTTCACACTGAGAAACAAAGATGTGGAAAATTACAGCCAACATGAAACAAGCACATTTTAAAAAAGACATTATCCATAAAATGTCAAAGAATAACCATGTTGAAGATATCCTTTAACAATTTTTGTTTGTTTGTTTTTTGTGGGGCTTTTTTTGCAGTACCAGGGATCAAACTCAGGACCTTGCTCTTGAAGGCAGGCACAGTGCCACTGAGTCAAATCCCAGGCCCTTTTAACAATGTTTAAGAAAAACAATGCACAAAATCGACTAAAACATTACTTTCCATTACTCCCCTGTCACAATATATATAACTCTAGTCCTGGGGGCCAAACCTCTTTATTTTAAATAAATTGAAGACTGATCTTTTTATAAGCTTTCATTTTAGAAACTGGATGAAATGTGCCTCAGAGTTTCTGTTTTCTCTGTAACGTGTAACTGTGGTGATAACTGGTACAGAGTCTGATACGATGCTGCTCTGAAGCAAGATACAAATCACAGGGACCCCTGAGAAGCCTTTTTTAAAAAAAAAAATTTATTTTTTTAGCAGCATACAATATTCCCCAAGACCATATGCATTTATCAGCAAATAAGGTAACTAGTACAGGGGATGGTACACATACGTATTACACATTACATCTTGTTCTTCACAACTGGGTCTTAGAATTTCTGAGCTAGAAATCCAGAGCAAAAATGCAACACGCTTATTCTATGGAGATAAACTCTTTATTCCTCCTAAAATTCTAAGCAGTTTTTTCCCCTAGAAATAAATCAGAAATGCCTTTTTGGGCTGGGGGGATTTAGCTCAGTGGTTCTTTCACCTGCCTCCCAAGTGCAAGGTCCTGAGTTCAATTCCCGGTTTAAAAAAAAAAAAAGAAATACCTGTTTATGGCTATTTCAACACTTATACATGTACTACATGTATATGTATGGGTATGTACATATCTGTGTTCATGTATGAGACTGACAGTCATAAAAACAAAATCGGACAGAAGACAGAGAAAGGGAGGGAGTAAAGAGGGACAGATGGAGGAGTGGACAGAGGTAGCTGTCCTTTTTCTTTATAAAACTAATAAATTTAATTTTTACATTAAAAAATCAGTTCTTGTGCTGCCTGCCTCGCAAGCACAAGGACCTGAGTTTGATCCTGGTACCAAAAAAAAAAAAAAAAAAAAAAAAATGGGTTACGTGAAAATAAAAAAAAAAAAAAAAAAAAAAAAAATCGGTTCAGTGCAAAATTGAGCAGAGTCCCCATATAGCCTCTGCCCACCAAATTGACAACTGGCACTGAGTAATTTTTAAAAGCCTACTCTAATGCAATTCTTAGAAAAGAAATACAAAGTACTGCTACAGACAAGCCTCAACTCGCACCTTTCATAAATGCGGATGTTGGCTGGGATGGCACTTATGAATCCTACTAGTTTCTTATTAGAAGTTACTCTGACCCCACAGTGCCACTGCAGGAGCCAGCCCGGGGGACGCAGAGCCCTAAAGTCAGGGAAGACAAGAGAAACAAACATCAGTTAGTGTCTAAAAAACACAAGAAAAGGCCCAAGACCTCCCAGCCCAGTGGCCCTCTTGACAGTCCACATGACCAGTGAGACCTACCACAACAGGAACTCTGGCGAATAGTCGAAGCGGAACATATTGTCATCATCTTCTACATAATTCTCGTTTAACAATGTATATAGCTCCTTGAGCTACAATATAAAACAAGCATCCTGTCGATGGTGCTCAGGACCAAGTCAGAAGCAATTTTTGTGAATGCAGGTGTTGAAGCAAAGAGTTTTACTCACCACCTCCGCATTACTCAAGTCTAAAGTATCCCACATAAAACCCTGTGGCAAAGAATATGGTTCTTGACGTACATTGTCTTTGTCTGGCTCAATTGCACCATGAGAAGTTATGACTTCATCTGCAGAGAGAGACAGAAAGAAATATAAAAGGAGAGGATATTAAATTACAGAGTAATCTGACAATCCCAAAAGATCAGCAACATAAACACAATCAGATATAGGGCACTCTGGTTTCATGTAATATTTCAAAATGTGCTATTATTTCAGCTTCCTCTGAGCTGAAACAGGAAAGCTAGGCTTTCCTGATGTGATATGGAATGATTATTTCACCAGTCAAATAAAAGGGAGATTCATCTGTCATCCAGCAACAAAGAAAATGTTGTAAAATGCCAGGGACTTCTCAGCTGCAACCCCAGGTTGCAGATTCACTGCACAGCCTCACTGGGAGTGGTGCAGGTTTGATACATCAGCCTTGGAGACAGTCACCTTTCTGCCCAGGGATGAACCTTGGTGGAAGAGCACTTGTCTGGTATGCTTGAGGTGATGGGCTCAATCCTTAGCACCAAGGAAAAAAGAAGTACACTACATTTCCACAAACCAGGGACAGGAACCTCCAACTCCTCCTAGCAATGAAATCTAGAATTAATTTCAAGGTCAGCTACTTATCCATCTGTACAGCTAGAAATGTAGTTGAAGCCAAGTGTGGTCCAGGTCTCTAGTGATTTTCTTTGTGGAAATTGCTATGCACCTGAGAAAAACCCTGGCTCTTCCCATGGCTGCCACCTGCCTCAAAACTCCTTGTTCCCTCCCTGCCCCTCACTCCCAGTGCTCTGGCCACACCGACCTAGCTCAGGCTTTTCCCAGATCAGGGTCTTACTGTGCTTTCCCTCTGCTGAAATCCTGTCTTTGGTCATCACATGGATGGCCCTTGGGGAGTTCTTAATTTCTCACAGCATCTTTCCCTGACTAAAGTTTTTTCCTACCTAAAATATGCCCTCTCTACTGTTTCCAGGGTATTTAGTAACAGATTCTCAGCAAATCTGCTAAGTGAAGGATTTCAGGGCCTAGTACTTCCCATCAGAACCTTTCTGCAAGCAGATGTCACAGGGTCTATAACAGCTCCAATCCCTCTGATCTAATCCCCTAATTTAATTACTCTTGTGTTATGGTTTGGATCAAAAGCTCATGTGCTCAGAGATGGGGTTTTTGGAAGGTGATGAGATCACAGGCACTAACCTCATCAATGGGTTAATCCATTAATCAGTTCCTAACTGAATGTGCTATTAGAAAGTGGGGCCTAGCTGGAGGAGGTAGGTCACTGGGGGTGTCTTTGAAGGGTATTATCTTTTCCTCTGGCTCCTTCTTGCTGTCTGTGTACTGGCTGCCATGAGTGAGCATGAGCAGCTTTATTTCCTCATTATTCCCTTTGGCCATGATGTTTCTGCTCTGAAGCTAACACCATGGACTGATCCTCTGAAACCATGAGCCATAATAAACCTTTCCTCCTGCAAGTTGTTTATATCAAGTTTTTTGGTCACAATGATGACCTACCTTATCTTCACTGACTTCAAATAAGCCCAAGGGACCAAATTCCTAGTCCTGCCCATACAAAGTCCCTTGTGGCCACTGCTTAACACTTGGCTCTCAAACAGTATCCCTGGGACAGTTCCAAGCTAGTAGCCGTGAAGAGCTGGGTGTATTTGGACTGACCTGGGACAACTTCTGGATAGCCAGAAATGGGGAGGCAAAGACTCCTCAACTTCCAAATGTTGCCCCCAACCTCAGGTTCACTCTTTCCCCCATCAACCTGACTTCCCTCATCTGTTACAGCCTCTGACTGAACTGTGATGTGCATTAAGAGTTCTAGAAAGTGGAGAATCAAGCAAGGATTTATAAGGAGAAGCAAAGTAGGAAGAACTACTTCCCAAAGAGGGGCCCTGGAGTTCAGTGCTAGCTGGTAGTAGTTCTTCCATGAGATGGGCCAGCACCTTGGTTACAGCATTCAACCATTTACATTTACATAAATACATTTAGACTGATAAATCCTGATTCCCTTAGCTAACAGTCAGAGCTAATCAAACTCCTCTAAGTTTATGCTAAAGAATTTCTTTCATTATTAAACATAGTCTATAACCTGAAAGAAAAGACAAGCAAAGCTGGGGATTTAGCTCAGTGGTTTTGCCACTTGCCTTCCAAGTGCAAGGTCCCGAGTTTGATCCCTGGTACAAAAAAAAAAAAAAAAAAGAAGAAGAAAGAAAAGAAAAGACAAGCAATGATCAGTTTTTCTTTTCTTTCTCTATACTGCTGGGAATGGAACCTGGGACTTCACATATGCTAGGGAAGTGCCCTTCTTCTGAGCTACACCCTGTCCCTTCTTTCTGCTTTCCTCCCCAGTCAGAAGCTTGTTTCTTTTAAGATACTGCGGCAGGTATGAGTGAGAAAGGACCCGTGGTTTTAAAAATTTCATGAATTAATATTTGAAGGCACAGAAGAGGATTGCTCCTTGATTTATATTCCACAAAGTGGATTATTTGTATGTAGCTGGGCTATTTAGAGGGTGGACAGCAATTAACCTTTTATATGATTCTGATCCAAAACCCAAATAAATCAAAGCTGCATAGTTATATAACATCCTCATACATACGTAAGACAAAGCAGGAGATTTATGTTGCAATGCATTTTATACTTCTATGACATTATGCCATCATCTATTTTTGTGTAAATTAGGTTTCTGGAAACTAACCCAGTAAGAGTCTAAGTGAATGCAACAGAAGAGCCCAAGGCCAAGGAAGGATACCCTGTGATGGGCCAAAGTCTTACGTAGCCTTCGAATCCAGAGGTGTCTTGCTCTTATGACACCGGAATAGTACTGAGCTGATTCTATCAGCACCACCAGTAAGTGTTCAGAACTGTTTCATTAAATGGTGTGAAACAGTTTATTTCAGTAAATACTAGCAGGCACATTTTCTGGATCTTTTGGAATAACCAAGGTGTGAAAATGGTAAAAGTTTACATTTAAGAACTGTATTATGGCTTATATTTAGATGTCAACCCAAAGCCTCATGCACTCATGGGTGGGGCTTTTGGGAGGTGGCTAGATCTCAAGATTAAGGAATGTGTGATAACGAAATTGGTTTAGCACAGTTTCGGATGTGAATAACGGAAAGCCCACCTTGGGCGTGTGTGGCACCAACCAATAGGCTTGCAGGCCAGATGGGATAAAGGGGACAGGGAGGCTGCTTTCTGCCTCCTGCCTGCTGTGCTATGGACTTTCTCTCCTGCTATGCTGCACTGCCTTAGAACCGGCCAACTACAGACTGAAACCTCTGCACTAAAACAAAATTTTTCTCTTTTAACTTGTGGGTATCAGGTATTTTGCTATCCCAGCAGTGAGAAAGTAACTAAGACAAACAGCACGAAACTCAAAACAAAGAGGATGGGTGAGAGAACCGTGTGTGTGTGTTTGTGTGTACAGACTTTACATAGAATGTGTAATTTAACATCACAGTTTAAGTATGGGGAAACTGTTTTTTTGGGGTATCGGGGATTGAACTTGGGTCCTTGCACTTGCAAGGCAGGCCACCGAACCGCTGAGCTAAATCCCCGGCCCGTTTTTTTTGTTAATCTAGCTTGTTTTAGGAACTCCACCCCAAAAAGGAAAAACAAAAGCACTTACTTAGTTTGGGCACCGGCTGTGTGTCCCAGAACTGGTACCTGCGTTTGCCTGCCTCATCGATGTTCCTGGCCGGGAACTTGGGTCCTTGCACTTGCAAGGCAGGCCACCGAACCGCTGAGCTAAATCCCCGGCCCGTTTTTTTTGTTAATCTAGCTTGTTTTAGGAACTCCACCCCAAAAAGGAAAAACAAAAGCACTTACTTAGTTTGGGCACCGGCTGTGTGTCCCAGAACTGGTACCTGCGTTTGCCTGCCTCATCGATGTTCCTGGCCGGGCCCTGGCACGCCGACAGCAGCTCCACCGCTCTCTGGATATCCTGCAGCTTCTGCATCGGGATGGTGGCATTCTGCAAGAGCACAGAGCTGACTGCACATCCGGGCCCGCAGTGTGCTGCACGCCCAAATTCACTCTTATCTTCATGAGCAACCACACAGGGCACAATGAAACAGTGCTCTTACTTTTGAAGGCTGATGAATTTTAATCTCCTGAGAATCAGATGCAGAGTCAGACTTCGTGCCTCCAGAATTTGGCTTCTCCTTTTTCCTCTTCTGTTTCTTCTTTTTCTTTTTGGCTCCCAAATCCCCTCCAGGACTTCTGTAAGAAATGCAAGGAGAATAAAAAAAAAAAAAATCAAAGAAAAAGTCATTACATAAATTAATTATGCTATACATATGCTATCCACAGTAAAACATAACTATTCAGGTATGAGTGGGGAATTAAAAGTAGATTAAGGGGGCTGAGGATTTAGCTCAGTGGTGACAACACCTGCCTGGCAAGTGTGAGGTCCCGAGTTCAATCCCCAGTACCAAAAAAAAAAAACAAAACAAAAAACAACAAAAAAGTAGGTTAAGGAATCAAAACAGGAAAATATGGTCCGTACTCTGTCACAACGCAGGCGTTCAGAAGCATGGACGCAGGAAAATTGTAGCTATAAACCACATTTTCTAACTGAAATCAAGGGGCTTTTACAGTTTACTACTTTACTGACCTACTTTTTATCCAGTCTCTTAAGGGAGGGATATGTGTAAAAAAATTCCATTATAAGCACATCTTAAGGACCTTCTAGAGACAACAAACCACTATTTTTTTTCCCAGTGCTGGTGATCAAATCCAAGATCTTGCACAGGACAGGAAAAAGCACTGTCCTTAAACTAATGATTCCAAATTAATACTCTTAAAACAACAGAAACCAAAGAAACTGCTGTTTTGCAGATAAAGAAATTGCTCCTGAAAAAGATTTTTACTATGAAGACAAACAATAAAACACACTAAGTAACAAAAATACTAACTAGTGAGACAGATCGGTTTGGAACCCTTTTCCTTCCATGGCTACTGTCTTCTGAAAGAACAAAAGGAAAAAAGGAAACACACGAGGAGGTTTAAATTTCCCATTTATGTGGGTTTATTCTACCACAGAATTCCCAAAAGGTAAATTAAAATTTAGTATCGGAAGGGTCAGGGTAGCTCAGTGGTTCCACCACCTGCTAACTAAAATTCTAACAGCAGAAAACAGAAGAAATTACTTTGATAAAACACAAACTTCCCTGCCTCACAAGTGCAAGGACCAGGGCTGGGGATTTAGCTCAGCGGTTCAGTGGCCTGCCTTGCAAGCTGAATAGACCTGAGTTCAATCCCCGGTACCAAAAAAAAAAAAAAAAAAAAAAAAAGGAAAGGACCCAAATTCAACCCCCAAAAAAAAAAAAAAAAAAAAAAAAAAAAAGCTCTCTATCTGTACCTATTTGTTCTCTTTTTTGATTTTTACCTAATTATTATATATGCATGCATTACAAGACTTGAAAATCACTAATATACATTAGGAAACTTATATTGTCCCTCAAAGACAACCAATAGTTTTTCTGATTTATATGCTTCCAAAATTATCTCTCTTCTCTAAGCTTATCCTCACTCTGGTTTTGTTTGTTTTGTGGTACTTGGCCAGCACTCTAACACTAGATACACTCCCAGCTCCTTGCTATAAATAATTTTTGAATAAAAATTGAATCTTAAACAAGACATTTTGAAACTGGCATATTTTCCTTCTTTCCACTTAATATATCATGGGATTATTTCCACGTCAGAACATATTAAGCTACCTCATTTCTCTTTAGTGGCTGTGTAGTATTCAAGACCTACCTCGTTTTATTGAACCTTTCCTATGTTAAAAAGGCTGCTGCGAAAAAATATCCAGGCACTTACACCTTTCTGCATTCAAACTGGTAAGTCTAGGGAGAAATGCTAAGTCAAAGGGTATCTTTAGTTTTATTAAGACTTTTTTTTTTGGTACCAGGGATCGAACTCAGGACCTTGCGCTGCTGAGGTAGGTGGCAGCACCACTGAGCTAAATCCCCAGCCCAACTAAGGCTTTTCCTAAATAGTGTACCAATGTCCACACTAACAAGAGCCCAGATCATCAGAGTTCCTCACCCTCATGCTAATATCATCTTTCTATGACAGTCATACCAGTGAGAAAAGTCTCCCTTGTAGACTTAATTTTTGTATTTAACCAGGAGTGGTATTATTTCATATATTTATTGGTCATTCATATTTTTTCATGAATTGCTCATTTATATCCCTTTTCTCTTAGCTTTCTTTAAAAATTATTTGTTGGTGCTCTTTATAAAAGTATCAGCATCACCTATCATTTATTAAGTATTTACTATGGACACTTCATGTAAGACCCACAATAGCTCTGTGAGACAAAACTTTATGCTTACTTTACATCACCTACTTTCGGTCTGTTACTTAGATCATAAATTCTCTACCCAGTTTATTTTTTAGTTTTCAGCTTTATGGTATCTTTAAAATTTTTATAAAGTCTAATACTCAGAAATTTTTCCTTTGTGACTTTTTAAAACTTTTAAGTCTTGTTTATAAAACTTTCCTATTCTAAAATTACATTGGGCCGGGGATTTAGCTCAGTGGTTCCACTGCCTGCCTTGCAAACGCAAGGATCTGAGTTCAATCCTCAGTACCAAAACAACAACAACAAAAAAAATTATACCAATATTCTTCTGTGCTTTTTTTCTATTTTAATGATTTACTGAGAAAAAGTTCCTCCACTTGAAATAAAATGTGTGCATATCCTTACTTTCTAAAAACAAATTATAAATACAAGAGAGACTGGCTTTGTAACTTGTTAATACCAGGGTTAAACTATACTGTCGAAAGACCAACAGCAGACAAGAATTAAGAGAGGTGAAACTGCCTCCTTACTGGATGGATACTTAGTCATTCAATGCACAATTTTGTTTTTCCAGACACTGCTACAGGGCAGGCAGCTGTCATAAATCCATTGATAGATAATGTCTGTCACGCAGAAGGAGTGTCTATTTCATCCCTTTGGGCCTGGTGGGCTTTTGACTTGCTTGGAACACAATGCAACCAATATTACGTAATGAATCTGGTCACAAAAGGCCACATAGCTTCCCTCCGCCGAGACTTCTCTTAGAATACTGCACTTTGGCAGCCTTACTCCTTTGAGACCTGCCGTGTGGGCGAAGCCATGTGCTGGTGAGGTCCCCTGGTGGTAGCCCACCAGCACTGGGGACCCCAAGTGAGAACCTCTCCAGCAGTGTCCTTCCCAAATCCCTACCCATCAGGTCTGCGAGCAGTTACACGTAACAGCAATGGGGACACAGAGACACAACGATGAAGAGAGCAACACCCTGTCCTACAGCACTCAAACTCTTAGAGCAACAGACAATATGCAACTGACAGAAGGTGAGGCCACATGGTAAATTATCAGTACTGTTACTACACGTGCAATCCTGTTGTTTCCTGTGCCAGGACACTTCTCATCTTCACTTCCTGGCTAACTATGGGTCACTCAAGATTCAGGTCAAGCATCACCTGCCTGTTGCTCCTGGACTTCCTACTAGGGACCCCGAAGTGCGCTGTCCTCAGTGCTCTCTGATTCCCCACTGGAGTGTCTGTTCCTGAAGCTGTGCAGCAGAGCTCACTGTTTTCCCTGCCTCCTTGCAGTGGGCCTGCAGGACACTTTCCCAGCCCTGAGCATGGGGAGGGCAAGTGAGCTGCCTTACCCAGTGGGATATGATGGGCTCCTCCAAGGCAAGGGCAGTTAGAAGCCAGTCCACTCTCTTTCAGGAAGCTTATAAACATTCTCCACTTACCAGTGCCATTCAGCAGTCACAATGAAAAGTTAACTACACATCTGGTGGCCCAGACCCAGTCTCATCTTCATGAGCAGCCACAGAGGTGGCAATAAAACAAGGCACTTACTTCTGAAGGCTGATGAATTTTAATCGCTGTGCTAAAGTAAGAAATTCGAGCTGAGTGTGCATGCCTGTAAGCACGGCACTTTGGGAAGACGAGGGAGTAAGACAACAAATTCAAGTCTAGCCTAGGCAACCTAGCAACCTAGTAAGACTGTTTCAAACAAAATAAAACAAAATGGTTGGGGGCATAGCTCAGCATGAAGACCCTGGGTCCAACACCTAGTACCAAAAAAAGAAAAAAATTATAAAAATTTAATTTGCAATGCATAATTCATTCCTCTATAAAGACCAAATATAAAATGTATGTTTGATAGTGTGAGAAACTGTTTTAAGAAATGAGTGCTTCTTATGTATATTTCCCTATTCATAACCTTAAAATAGAAATCAGAACTCATCTACAGAGATATGTGAAGACTTTGTCAAGTGGTACCCTAGTGGTCTAAAAATAGTACTGCATTCCCACCAAAATGAGCAGTGTATTTCTATCGGTAGAATCAAATGTGTACTATCATGATGTTTATATTTAAAATCATCTGGTGACTAAAGATGCCCAGAAATATCTGACTAGATATAGGGCTTAAACAAACATAACTTAGCCAGGGAGAGCTGGAAATAGCCTGTGGATGTGTATGGTTCCGTACAATCTCTGTTTTGTGAGCAAGAATGTTTCAAGCTTTTCTTCCTCAGTGCTCCCAAGGCTGGCACCTTAAAAGATAATTTTGTTGTGTTGTTATTTCATGATTTATGTATGCATTTATGGGTGGATGTAACAGGAAAAAGATCTATCTGTGCTTGTACTGCCGAGGTCTCCAATGCCTCGCACCAGCAGACATTCATACCACACGCTTGGTGAATGAAAACATGGAGAATTGGCTCTGTCTGTGGCTCCAGTCATATGCTGTCAGGCAGCAAAACACCTCTGAAAGCTACAATTTCTCCAGGTTGATGGTAAAGCCTATAGCAGTGCTTTACCCAGTGCTTACTGAACATTTCTGTGTGCTCAGCATTGTGTGAGGGGCTCAGGAAGGCTGACGTCATGGAGTATGGCCTGTAGCTCCACAGGGCAAAGAGCTCTGTCTTTGCCTGCCCCCTTATTTCACTGTTGCTGGTTAGGTCTTTTCTAGAAACTGCTGGGAGCCCAGGGCCTCACAGCTTTTATGTTATATCACCCAGTTTTAAGTATCTCCAATTTCCGGAAGACGTGGACAGCATAAAAGAAGAAGGACCCTCATGGAAAAACTACTATCCTGGGGCTGACATCTCCAGAATAGACAGCCATTTATCTCTTGCACCTAGATCGCCAGATTTAACAAAAGAAACAGAGTACGTGTTTGATGCTCTGAATATTTTCACACTTCAATTGACCAAACAAACAAGTACTGAAACTGTCCTAATAAAGGGGACACACAGCAAAGAACATGGTGACAGCAACACAAGAAGCAGAACAGAAATGCAAACGGCTGAAGTCGTGACAACTAAGAAAAGAATGGATCAAATGCTCCTGAGGTTTCCATTGGACTCAGCAACCCTGGGACCAAGGGGGCCCTGAAATAAGTGTCAGTGTGGGACCAGAGGTTCTGTGCAAGAAGCTGAGAAATAGCCACAGACAGAGAATCAGAGCATCTCTGATCTTTATGATCACTGACCTTTCTATAGCTAAAGAATTCTCCTCAA